ATCCGGTAACTTTGTCTCAGATTCTGAAATAAAATTCTGGATTTAGCTCATGCTGTAATGATTATAATCCTCTAGGTCAGTCACGAACCCGATGACTTTTACAAGCCGATCGCCTGTCTGACTATGAAGATATTTATGATTGGAAATCAAATCCAAATTTTGCGTTTGACATACGGTTTTCACAACACTACAGTCTATTGGGGAAAACGAGTATGGTAAAACCGGTCACTCAAAGACCTTTACTTTTTTGAGGCACTTCTTGATCATTTAGAAGCATGATTTGTTTTAGGGGGGCTTCAATATTACACCATATCACAGACACTGATAACACGTAGGGGCGTGCATCTCAGATTTAAAATTGTTAAACGATGCCTTTAAAGGCATTTTTTTAATTTTTTTAAATGTATTTGTTTTTAATCATTTAACCGAAAACTGTCCGGTTTCGACTGGCGGTTAAACGGAATTGGAGATATCTGTGATGTTACAACACTACTTGACATGCTTGTATCTTTCCTCTGCTAAGATCGTCGGCACTGTGAGTGTGCCGAAGTTCCATAAATGTTTTTCTATAGGTCGTTGAAGTAGATTTTGACAGGTTTTTTGCATGAAGATTGGGTATAAAATAATATAGGATTTTTAAGTGTATTATGCAGCTGTGTTTTGGCACTATTGCTGATGTGTCCAGGGGGGAAAAAGAGCACTGACTCCAAGAACAGCGCAGGGACAGACTCAAAGTATTGTGCAAACTGTTTTGTGTTGAGGTTACCCTTAATATTACACAGATGCTAGGGTTGGGCAAGTTACAAAAAGGTGCTCAACATCCTCTCGCTCTACCTGATAAGGCTAAGACTGGAAATCTTCTTTTTGAGAGCAGATTTCCTCAAAATTGTATTTTTTGTAAGTAAAAGTGGTACCAACTGATTTTATATTTTGCCGTGCAAATTATGATCATGATGGTGTTTTTGATAGATCACATTTTTTGATCAATCAGCTGTTGTTAACCCCCTGTGCGCAAAGTACTGTATGGTCTTGTTGTTTTATGACTTTTTTAGTTGCAGCGCACACACCAATCCGACATCAAATTTTTATTTAATATCGCAATATTTCTGGAATCCTTTGACGATTAATTTTCAAGATCTAGTTGAACCAATTAGTATTAAAAAACTTTGCCATCCATGTGGTTATATAATAGGGTTTAGATGTAGATCTAGATCTTATTAAAATGAATAAATTTGTGTAAAATATGAGAAATCATAGATCGAAAATCACATGCTCTTATATTTTCAAAATCTCCAGCTCCACGAACTTTGTCTTCTTTGCCTTGGCTTTGGTCACCCAATTCAAACACATCAAAAAAGTGAACAAACTACCTAGATCTAGATCTAGATCTAGTACAAAGTCAATAATAATAGAGACTAGACTTGTCACCGACACTATTCTTGGCTCTTGGCTTGCTATGCCTCATTGACATTAGGCCAGGCTATAGACAGCAATAACCATCTGATTTGGGTCATTTCTTTAATAAAACTGACATTTGTTGTCATTCCCCAATACAGATGGCAACCCAGAGATCTCGTACCGTGGGGGTAAATTAGAGCCACAGCGTAACAGCTTTTCGTTACCGACATTTCTCCCCCGATTTTCTTTATTTAGATCTAATTTCCTGATTTCTAAATCAGATGTAAATTAGGTCGGTCTATATATCTCCTAATTACAGTTTTCAAAATTTGCTAACCTATTATAGAATGTGAAATTTTCGGACTTACTTATATGAATTATCCAATTTGTTCCTCAGAACCGCGAAGCACTTACGTTCATGCATTCAAAATATTACCCGGCGGCCGATATATTTCCGGGTCCACCTACCAAAACATAGCCAATGGCCAATCAGAGCACTCGTTTCGTGGGAGTTCGTTGGTCAAGCCGGGCCGACTCGTATGTAGCTACGGTAGCTATTGGACGTTCGAAAAGAAAAAATTAATATTCATCAACTAAAACCAAGACGAATAATGTTGACGACGAGACTTTCTCGGATTAATCATTAATTTAGGATCTAAATGAGCAAGCTATCGTAAGTCAAATAAGCTATATATATGTTATTTTTAATTAGACTCTAATTATTGTCATATTGCAGCATGTGTGAGGATGTAAAGAGTGAAAATCTCGTAGCATAGAGTAGTGGCTCTGGTCTGCGGCCGATCGGCGGGAACTGCCGATTCTATTTTTATTGGAATACTCACAGAATACTTCAATACCCTCAATAAAGAGTCCATATACTTACTTATTAAATAGAAGTCACAAATAACCTAACTGACCCACAGCGTGGTCAGCATTGACCACGTTTCGAAATGCTTCGAGTTCCCCGGTTTGCGGGCACGCATTACCGGTTTGCGGCACGCATACGTCACAAAGCTTTATGCGCTACGTCACGATGAAAGCATGTACCAAATTACTACGGGTAACCCAAATTCTCATGTTTATCTGTTGCTACGGTAAATTTGTCAAGTTTTAAACAATTTCACCTTTTCCTCGAATGGATCATCCCATCCGGGGGTAAGTACTACTAGAAACTATCGGGTCATAGCGGGTACACACATCAGCACACATACCATCATGCACGATCCCGCATGTTATGTGTGTATTAACACCCCCCGCCGCAAACCAGAAAAAACACGTAATTACGTGCCGGTTTGCGGCCACCCCATGCAACTGGCCATGCGGTGGCACAATCAAAATATCCGCGATAATTAGGAGACAGACCACAGCCATCATACTTCCACAAAAACATCAAATTTCACCTCCAATCGGACAAATATCGGACAAATAGAGCTACAATATTGATCTAGTCATGCCTCGATCTCTTAACTTAAAAGTTAGCACCTGCTGGAATTTTCATCGGCGACTGGTGCCGTAGATTTCCGACATCGCTGACGGATACTCCGTACCGACAGGAGCACCTGCTACGGACGTTTTCGGCAAAGCAGAACTTACCGTGGAATCCGCGGTAGGTTTCAATGATTATTATCGAGTCATATTCATTTTATTTTTAAAACAAATACCCCTGGCCGCAAACCGGGCGATGCCGCAAACCGGAGACTCTACTCTATCTCATTCATCGCGGTCCTGCCGAACCGAACCATTGGTTCCGTACAGTCCCGATAGGACAATCTTCAGTCTCTATAATCGGAGGTCTAGTGGAGCCAGACGTAGTCTCAGTGGAACAACCTAGCCTTAAGGGCTCTCTCGAAATGTTTTTTTAATGATATTATTCGAGAGAGCCTTAAACGGCTCCCATACCCCTGCACGGAGAGGCATGTAAACAAAACTCAAAAGTGGTCCAAAATCACACTTTCGCGCACCCGACCAATATTGGACAGTGGCTTTGATAAATTTTGTCGTAGTTTTGGTCTTAATTACCGCTTTAATTTCAAAATCGGATCTGAAAATAACAAAATAAGAGCAATTTTCTTACCAGACCGATACAGCTCAGCTCCCTTTTCACGTGTACCGTGTGAATTCACGATGTCTACACAATGGTGATGACCTCTGACTAGCACTTCGTAAATGTGCTGCTTCCGTATAATGCGCTGAATAACACTCATACAGCGCATTATACGGAAGCAGCACAATTTACCCACAATTACGGAAGTGCTAGTCAGAGGTCATCACCATTGTGTAGACATCGTGAATTCACACGGTACACGTGAAAAGGGAGCTGAGCTGTATCGGTCTGGTAAGAAAATTGCTCTTATTTTGTTATTTTCAGATCCGATTTTGAAATTAAAGCGGTAATTAAGACCAAAACTACGACAAAATTTATCAAAGCCACTGTCCAATATTGGTCGGGTGCGCGAAAGTGTGATTTTGGACCACTTTTGAGTTTTGTTTACATGCCTCTCCGTGCAGGGGTATGGGAGCCGTTTAAGGCTCTCTCGAATAATATCATTAAAAAAACATTTCGAGAGAGCCCTTAAGGCTAGAACAACCGACGATTAGAGAGACTGAAGTTTTCGGTCTAGCCAGGCCAAGGCTAAGCCAAGTTAGGGTCTATCAGTATCAGGCGAGGACGCGGGTTCGAACTGAGTCAAGTCTTTCTGATGGTGAAGTTTAAAGGTCGGTCCTCAGAGTGCCAGACATAGTCTAATTAAATAATTCATATCTAAAAAATAAAAAAAATGATCCGATTAGATCTAGCCTCTAGGTCTAATCACTTGTCTGTAAAATTAAACCCGGGCAACACAGTGACACACACACAATGTGGCAAAGTCACAGAGACAGCGTGTACGTGTGCCAGCGTCGAGTCTCTCACTTTTTTGTTGAAAAGAAAATACTAATAAAGTTATCTGACTAACTCTCCTCTCTACTCTAGACCCGTCTAGGACTAGGGCTAGGCGCAAGACCTCGTTCTCGGTTCGTGCCTGGCCTAGCTAGCAGCGGTCCCCCGGAACTCTGGCAACACAATCTGTCAGCGAACCTAGCAACCTCCGACGCCTGGCAAATCAACTGCAAGCTGCAGTGTCGTGCAACTTGAGCTGAGCTGTGCCTGACATTTTAGCGACAAAACTATCTTGATTTAGTTCATTTTAGCTGACAGCTGAAATCGACAAACTTACAGTAGTCTATTCACAAATAATTGATACAAATTACTTACGGTTTTGTTCCGCTATCCCATCTACGATCTATCTGTTATTTCACTCTCAAAGTCAAAATTCGTTCAACAGTAGCGCCTGTACTGTAATTAATGGGCCAAAGTCGAGTTTGATGGACGATTCTACTTTTCTAAGAGGGGTAGGGGTACAGGAAAATAAAGTTAGCTGATTCTTTTATCTAAAAAGACCTTTGCAAATTCAGTTTAGGATTAGCTGATACTTATAATTTTAAACTTTTAAGTATATTCAAATTCAAATTGTAACTATTTATGTGATATTTTTGTGTAAAGGTAGACAAAGTTTTCAAAAGGGTAATAAACTGAGCCCCATAGGCTAATTGGATTAATCTCTAAAAAAAATACCGCCCCCTTTCGTCCGTAACAAAATCTCTTCGTCTTTGGTCTTGATCGGAAGTCGAGAAACAACCGCGACCATGGTATAAAACTCACTATTTTATCATGTACACAATGAAAAACATGTAAATAATTATATGTAACATGTAATTCAATCATATAAGTTCTCTACTAAGTATAAGATTAAAATATTATCAGCGTGATGTTAGAGATTGTAAGAGATTTGCATGTTCAACCACTGTGACGTCGTTTCTTCCAAGTGTAGTCCCGAACGTTGACATTTTTGATGTAACGATGGGCACTAGCTTTGTATTGAGGAGTAAACTCGCATTCAAAAAGTTGAGCCTTTGGATAATTCTCATGTGAATCAGTTACATTAATGGTGATCGATGTCTTCGAATATTTAACATACCAGTTACAAATTTTGAGGAATTATAAGTTGAGTCGAGGACAAATGCAAGACAGGTGCAGACAATTTGTAATCCGGACATGGACTTCGTACCCGACTCGCATTCATAGTCGTAGACTAGACTACTGTAACTTGTTGGAGATCTAGGTCTAGTCGTACTCGTAGTGGTGTTGGCAGAGTCTGAATTCTGAAAGGCGTGGTGACAATACAAATTACATAATGCCATGGCATCCATTTGTGCCTGCATGCACGTTGAGTGATGTAATTTGTAAAGAAATGTGAAAGTCTAAACCTGGCTTGATGACATCGGCATCAATGTGCGCATGACGCGTAATGTGGGCGCTGGTCCGAGAATAATTAGGAACATCTGCACAAACGTAAACAGACACGTTCGCGAAAAATAAGGATCATCCTCATTTGCGCTGATGATTCTGATTTTCCAATTCGCGTGTTGGCGATGTTAAAAATGGAATCCTGCGATGATTTTCTTGATGCATTTTATTTTTACATTGACTTTGTACCAAGACTTTCACGTTACGAGCAATAAATCCTTGGGAAGACGGACAACCAATAAAAGTAGACGGTGAACTGGGGGTATTTTATCACGCGAAATCCATTTTTTGCGGATTCCGTTTTCCGCATCTCCAGCGCGCAGATCGGGAACCTGAAACCTGCAAAGCCCTGAAAAAAATGTGGACGATTTTTATTTTTTCGGACGCATTTTGCCTGCTTATAGACCCTACAAGTAGGGTGTCTGATCGCGCACCCGATGTTGTGTGCTAAAATTCTTCCCATAGAGATTACACGCATCCCTATGCAGCCTACGTGCATTGCGCGACCATGCAAAAAAAGTCAATTTTTTTTTTTCAAATCGAGATTCAAACCTTTATCAGTTGTGATCCTGAAGGTGATAATCAATGAATGAGGTGTCATATGAAAGAGCAGGTGAATTCCAATATTTCCAAAGGGGCGTAGCCCCCGAAATTCTAAAAATATCTTGGTCAAAACAGCAATTTAAACATTGTGTCCTGGCTAACTCTGAGGTTTGTCACTTTTGAGATATGACGCCCCGATCGATAAGTAGTCCCAGTCCTAAGGAACAATTCTATGTGATTATATTTTCGCTAGCCCCCAGGGATCACAACTGATAACAGTTTAAAAATACCCTTCTCGCTATTTGGTGGATCAGCTAATTAGGAGGCGTGCGCTCCGCTCAGTCCAAACCATGGTTACATCGCGTAACATCTCCGCGCACGAACGAAACCCCAAATTATAGTGACTGAAATTATGGTTGGCAATTCCCTCGATAAACCCGGAAGTGAATACACGTTATAGTCAATGGCAATATCGCGGAGACACGTGCGTTGTCTCCGCGATATTGCCATTGACTATAACGTGCATTCACTTCCGGGTTTATTGTGCGACGAACGCCAACCATACTAGTCAATCGCACATGTCTCGGAGACAGCGTAGCTCAAGCTGCAAGTCGCGGATTGGCTTAGCAGCATGCGTACGATATGCATACGCTTGCATATCGCGCGATACAGCTGTTTGGCTAAATTTAGCAAAACAACATCACTCTGCGTGGACGTCTTTTTCGTCGATTTTGACCAAAATGATATGAATATACCAGCGTGTTGGAGGGGCTGTAACTTTTGATAGAAACATCGGTGAGACTTGAAATTTGAAATGTATTATTCTGATAACATTTTTTATTCAAATATCAAACAAAAATGGTGAAAAACGATCCCAAATTGAAAATTGAAAAATCGTTCAGACACCCTACTACAAGGATATATCCTTGTTTATGCAGACGATCCTCATTCTCGGACCAGCGCCCCTACTTGGGATGATGTGTATGACTGACTGTAGTGGTCTGTACGTCATTGCCCATTCCTGCACATGACGAACTTTGCTTCTTGTGGACCCTTCTCTCTGCTCGTACAAAGCACTTTATAGTCTGTGAAGAATGTAACCAAAAAGGTGGCAATTTATTACTGGAATGATCAATGATGGTGCTTTGTGTATCTTCCACATGTTTTATGATGATTTGGAATATTATGAGCTAATGTGCAATTTATTTGACAAAACCAAGTCAAAAGCGCTGACCCCCGAGTCTGTTGAGAGTATGCCAAGTTGGTTCCATTTAAAACGCAAATAGATATGGAATGCGAAAATGCCTGATTTTGCGATGTCAACTTTGGTGTAGAAAATAATTTTCAGTTTGCGGGAGCTCTTTTTCCGTTTACCAGAGCAATTTTTCCTTTGAGAGGGCTCACTGCTCCCTTTTTATTTTTCACTGCAGATACTACTACAAAATGACTAGGCCCTCCTTTTGATTCATGGCCTTGGTTTTGCCTTTAAGTTTAAGATATTTATTGACATGTACCCTACTGCTGGAGAGAGATTAACATTGAAGTAAACCTTGTAGTAGTAAATTGATTCCTGTTTGTTTGTCTCCCTCTACAGCCTTCCCACAAGACATTCAAAATCAAGCAGAAGCTTGCTAAGAAGCAAAAGCAGAATCGCCCCATCCCACAGTGGGTGCGTCTCAGGACAGGCAACAGGATTCGGTAAGTCAATCAAACCTTCACCATCTGCACTTTGTCTTCCATACCTGATCTGTACTGTGTTAGTAAGGCAATAGATGGGGTGGTTGGAGGGGTGGGGGGGGGGGGCCAATAGTGCACACCTTCAATGTCAGGCCTGATAATTACCCAATTTAAATCAGTTTCCAGATTTTCTTTTATTTTCTCTATTCCCGATTTTTTTCTGATTTTTTTTTTTTTTACTAAAAAAAGGGAGAATGTTGTTCGATGCCATGTTTTCCCCGCGAATTCTCTCTTTTTTTTTTTGCTCAAGGGGGGGGGGGGGGGGGGGGGGGGGGGGGGGGGGGGGGCAGGGCGTGGTAGAGGGGGTTACTTTCACCCCTGCAATGTGGAAGAAACAATTTTGCTCTAATATAGCTGACTTAGTGAAAAACACCATTTGAAAAGAAAAGGATTTAAAAAAGAGATGAACTGTGATGAAAGCTGGTTCAGAGTTGAGAGAGGAAAAATAAATTCAGTCTTAAAAATAATGTGCTTCCTGTTTCAAATCCCAACCTTTTTTTGGAGGATTTGTTACCAATTGTTACCAGAAAATAATAAAGCTTCTCTATGCATTTTTTTTCTAGGATTTCCATTTGACTTCAAACAGATAGTTGTATTACTCTTTTTTATTCCTATTTGCTAGTAATTTGAGAATATGTTGCAAAATTGCATTTTCCCAAGTCAATTTAGCTCACATTCTTCATGTAGAGTTGGTGGCAAAGTATAGAATAGATTGTGTAAGAAATGATGATTTTGTTTTGTTTATGTCTCTACAGCTACAACGCCAAGAGACGTCACTGGAAGCGAACGAAGCTGAACTTCTAGGATGTTCTGATCAACGGACTGTTCTTTCTCTTCACATGGACAAACTCTAAGCAAGCATCAGCCCAGACTCAGGGCAACCGTCACATCTTGCTCAGAACAGAACATCACATGAGTACTCATGATGAGTTGATGGAAAGCATAGTTCACTAAAATTCAAACTTTGCAGATAATAATGATCACTTTCGCAAGATGGTGTTTAAAAGGCTCCTGGTTTTTCGCCACTCGGTCGTCGTCATCATCATCACCGGAACCCTCCAGCTCTGGAAATCTGGATTTGAATCAGGAAGTTTATTTGAAGCCCGTCCTGCGTGACCTGGTCATGTTTGTCAATAAATGTTTCTTCATGTGAAGAGGATATCAAACTTGCAGCTCTTTCATTATTTATTCACATTTTTTCTTTGTTTCTCTTACAGTGGAAACTTGTTATAAATTGCTTTGATGTTACAAGAAACCTGATATAACAGGTAATTTTATGGTCTCAAAGGCCTTCTTGTAGCGAGTTTCCACTGTATTCTCATTCTGTTCCGATGAGAGTGAAATGTTTGTATGAGTGTATTGGGGAAGACCCAGCTAGTGAATATTTAAATGTGACTCTGTGAATGCAAGGAGGCATCTTGATTCTGGAAGAGATTTGTAATGTGTTGCTGTTGAGGACTGTATTCCTATCATAACAGATCACATGTTAGATGTTCAAAGGAATGCATTTGTTTGGATTCTTGCTTTTTCCATGCTCTAAATTATCTGTTACCAATTGAAAATATCTGATCTGTAATTGTAGAAATATTGGAAATTTGGTTGGAAATGGAAATTAAGATTTGGGCCCCTTTGTATGAAAAAGTTAATATTGATTTGAATCGATCACAATTCCTATATCTTTGATACACAGTTGCAATTACTGTAATACAAAGTTGTGATTCATTGGAATCATTCACAACTTTCAAATGGGAGCCCTTAATTTAAGTGAGAAATGATGATGATGAAGTGCTTAATGATCACGAACATGAAACTTTTCTTGGTATACCGGTAGCTCATTATACAGTGTGTGAGAACTGAGAACTTGTTTGTCAAATTAAAGTTTTGTGCTGTGGGTGCCTCCATTTGATTTGAGATGTATAGTATGGTCCTATAAAAAAGAAAAGAAATTTTTAAACCAAAATGTCTGTGAGAAAAGCTATAGAGCAACAGGACGTTCCTATATTATTGACCATAGAGTAGCTCTAAACAATGCTAGGTTAAAGATAAACTGGAGTTCTGGTAAAAAAAGAAAATGAATTCTCACAGAATCTAACGAAACACACACTGAATGTTCAAGATTACAAATAAATGTCATGTGCCAAACAATTTTGGAAGAAAATTTATACTGGCTGAGTAATGAGTATAGAAAGATAAGGAAATCAGGGTAGTACTAGCCCCGACACCATGCGTGTTGTCCCATATACATCTTTCTGTGTAAGTGATTGTTACTTTACCAAGACTCGGCCAAATTTATGATGATTTTAATGACTCAAGAACTTTGCATTACACACCATTACTTACATGCTATATGATCAACTTTCTGATCCATTCCACACCTTTTCTTTCACAATGCAATCGCATTACCAGAACTCAAGTTTATCTTTAATGCTTGACAACACTGGACAAGTTCATAATAATGCAAGCTATGAAACACTCGCCTGACTGTGAGACTAGGAGTTCCTTTAGCTTAGAGAGAAAGGATGAAGTGACTGCTGTGCGTATGTGCAGGAGTAATATTCATTGTATGGTAACAAAATGGGTCTCTCGCAATGAAAGGGATTATGTGTAATTAGTCTCTTTCCTCATATTCTTTTCTTTTTCCTCTTCCCCTTTTCCTCCCTAGCCCTCTCTCACTCCCACTCTCTCTCCCTCTACAATTCTCTTTCTCTAGCCCTCTCACTCTCATTTTCTCTCTTCCCCTCTCTCTTTCCTTCTCCCTTTATAATTCTTTCTTTCCCTTCCTAGGCCTCTCTCACGCCCATTTCCCCTCTTTCCTTCTCCCTCTATCATTTCTCTCCCTCCCTCTCTTGCCCTCTCCTTTCCCTCTATAATTCTCTATATCTCTTTCTGAAGCCCCCCCCCCCCCCCCTCTCTCTCTCTCTCTCTCTCTCTCTCTCTCTCTCTCTCCTGGTCTTGTGCACATGCACAATGTTTCCCCTTTCGTGACCGTTGGTTATCATGAAATTACTCCCTTTGTCATAACTCCCATTCATTGTTCTTTCTCTGCTTACATTCATCAACAGAAACCAAACAGAATTTTCACTTGTAAGTCCATGGTTAAATCAATCTTGTCAATAAAATAAAAATAAATAAAATAAGAAGGAAAAAAAACTAGAGTTATGGCACACTTACTCATAACTAAATAAATGCAGTAGCTTATTTCCATTAATTTAGAATTCAAGCAAAGAAACTAATGATAACCATAGTGTGTTAAAGAATTTGAATACAAATGCATGTACGACAAAATGCAAATTTTCACACTGTACAACTTTACAATTGATTGACACACAGTATCTGAATTGAAACAATGATTCATGTTGCTTTGAGTAAAACCTACTTTTATTTCATAATATACCAAATACATATATAACATGATATTTGTCCATTTTCCCATCAAAATTAACATTTTACAAAAGCTTGTATGATAATCATGACAATTTTTAATGAAAATTTATAAGATATATGGTTATATAAATGTATACAGATATCATCTCCTGCGCTGACTAAATCATTACTAAACTTGTATAAGAGTCGTAGACTCGTATTGACACAAATACATGCATAAAGTGAATCATTTTCATAATGACCAATCATCGACACAATTACATGTGTAAATTTCAAAAAAAATATAAAAATTGAATTCAAATCTTCTAAAAAAGACACCCGTACATCTTCTTTATATGCAGCATGTAATTTATTATTTACAAGTATTCAAATATAATCATTACAGTGATTTCTTTTCATTAAAAAAAATCTAGCTTAGCGTCCAGGGCGTTGCTAGAGCAGGCGAGTGTGCGTAAATAAAACCTGCTCTCTAAATCTTGATTCGGAGAATGGCCCAAGCTTCCATTGCTTCAGGGAAATCCGTAATAACCCATACCCCCCCCCCCCCTCAACAAAAGAGGCTTCTTTTTAATAAGAAAGCAGTAAGAATTATAAAGTTGTAAGGAAATTTGAATGAAGACACTTCACCCATAGGAAGTGATTTAGCAAAGCACCTGAGCAACTTCTTCAACTAAATGAACATTTAAAATCTACATGTACAAGAAAATGTTATTACATCAAGAAGAATTCTCACATAACGGCTTTGAGCTCTATTTGGTCCTACCGACTGTTTGACCATACCTGATGCATGATGGGAAATACAAATTATATTTCATTTTGATTTCAATTCAATTGATCAGGCAGGTAATTGTATAGCTAATTCAAAAATATGGAAAAAAGAATCGTGAAAAAAGGGGGGTATTTCTTCACAATATTTTTCACTACACTAATCATCTCTTTCAAGAATGCAAACTGAACATACTTATTCTCAGTTTAACATGCTTTTAGGCAGGTGAAACTGAGTGAATCTTTTCTGAAAAGTTGTATTTCATTTCTCGTTTATTAGTACTGATCATCTTAATTCATTTAACATTACACGCAGGTGCAGCAAGGGCAAGGAATCATTTCAATTTGGCAGGCACTGAACAAAATTCATTGACAAGAAATATTACAAAGAGTGGACAAACATCTTTAAAATGTGTATTTCAGCTACTTTGAGCAAGTATTGAACAATTAAAACCACTCCAAAAACATGAGTGAATATGAATTGTCCATGTGGGTGAATTGCAATGTGGATTTTACCACAATAAGTTTGTGCTAAATGGTGTAATCATTGATGATCACAGTAGAGGGTTCAGAGACTTTTACCTGTGATGAAGTTTGTACAATTGGGAGATCATTATTTCAAGCAAATTATCGGTAACATACAATAGAGCCTAGTTCAGATATGAGTTGGTAAACCAGTGTTGCTGTGTGATACGGCTTCACGATTCTGTATCTTATAATACAGAGCTAATTGAATACTTGAAAGACCTTTGTCAATTTGTTGCGGTTTCCATTCAATTACAAGTATTTTTTTTTAAGCGCTATTGTTTATCACTTCATATCTGAACAAGCCTTAAAAAAGCCAGTTGCCAAATATCTAGTGGATATGATCTTTGGATACAAAAAATTATATGAGACTGACTAATTTCTGTAGGATATTAAAATTTCGCTTGATTTGAGTGATTTTTCTTGAATCCCTGACTATTCCCTGCCTGGAAAAAGTGGAACACATTGACCAGGGGCCTGTTTCACAAAGCCTTTCCTCAATGACAAATGAAAAAAAATCAATGACAAATCTGCTGATAACCAATCAGAATCAAGAATTTCAGTAGCTTATAACAATAACTGTCATTTGTCACTGATGACAAGTTTTGTGAAACGCCCCCAGGTTTTCCCTGGTTTCCAGGATAGCTAAGAACCGTTTAGCTTCTTCATGTGCTCCCATTGCTATCTTTGGTTGGGTTCTTTGGTTGGCCTGAGTGTTGCCTGAGTGTTGCTTGAGAGCTAGATGCTTGTTAGAGCTTGGGTTTGTCTTCTGGGTTGAGTTCAACTACAATCTTACCTTCACTCTTCTTGGAGTATAGGTACTGTGTGAGAGAGAGAGAGAGAGAAAGAGAGAGAGAGAGGGAGAGAGAGGGGGAGAGGGGAGAGGGAGAGAGAGAGAGAGGGAGGGAGTGGGAGAGAGAGAGGGGGAGGGAGAGAGAGATGGGAGAATGAGAGAAAGAGAGGTCAGAAAGAGAGAGAGGAATACAAGAGGAGATGAGGAGATGATGAAATTCTAAAAACTACTATATTCCTAAGCTGAATCTAAACTGCTACCTTTTCCGTTGCTGAGTAAGTGCAGGTATGTGAGAGCATGATATACAGATTGTTCATATTTCACTTTCCAGAGAAAATGTAATTTTTCCAGATTTTCAACTCACTAAGTTTTTATTATTAATTAAAAATAATAATTATTATTATTATTTTTTTTTTAAATCGCATTCAGATCAGAACCCAAGTTTAGGCACTGCAAATCTCCACCAATTCTTTGATTTCCATAGGTATATTGTAGATAAATCATTAAACAGAGTACGACCCCCTACTAACAGCATCTACAGCATTGTAAACTGTCCAAACACCCTTAAACGGTCGCTTAGGATTGTTTGCCTTGGTTATAGCCACCCTCCCAAAATTCTACAAAGCCGATACTATAGCGCCCTCTATACTTACATCAACAGCGTCATAGACAGCTTCCAGACCAGTGAACGGTCCCTTGGGGTCATGTTTGCCTTGGTCATATGCGACCTTGAGTTGACCTCCCATGAGAAGCTGGGTCAGGTTGGTCAAGGATCGCTTCCAGAGGTCAGCAAAGTGGAAGAGAAGGAACCCTCGGATAGACGCAGACTTCTGGAGCACCTGAAGGACAGAGAATAGACAAACATTCTAACTTATCAAGAATCCATTGTGCATAGACACTATTAATGGGGAAAACTACCCTAACAACAAGTAAATTTGAATTAAAGCAGAATAATTAGAGAAAAATGTCAATAAACATGACTGAGAAATTAATTGAGAATTGGTTGCAAAGTATTGATATTCATATCTCCTAGCTTTAATCACAGCTTTAATCACACTTTTTCAAACCCTCATGGATATGCTTCTCTGGCTGTCTATT